ATAATGGCTTAGATATCAAAACCTTATATATGATAGATAGGACCATTTTTAATCATGCAGATTGAAATATCTTTAATAAGCAAACTATTTACTCTGAATATTTATACATTACAAAATGTAGCTTTGGAGCATGAAAATACTGACTTTAAGAGTAATAGGGGAGATGGAAGCACCACCCACGAGGTGGAACCTTGTAATCTATGCCATAACTGTTATACAATTCATAAATGGACATAAAACCCTATGGAAAGGCAATAAGAGTGTTGGCAAAGGCTAATGATCAAAGGTGAGATTAGAAGGGCCTAACTCAAGTCAGCTAAACTGTGTAGGACCAAAGCAGTTACAACCTCAATTCCTTCCTATTGGAACTGTGCTCTGCCTATGAAGCCAAGTCAGAGAGATGAGGTGCATGTTTCCATTCTATAACAGGAGCAACAAAGGACAACATGGACACGGGTAAATGGTCAAATGCAAACCCGAGGGAACTAAGGAATGGGAAATCCTCGAGTTTCTTGGGCACACGTTCTATAGGCGATGGTGGACTTGAGCACACAATAAGCCTGTAGGTGTGTTGTTTGACTAGTTTCTCGTTCAAATTTATAATCAAATGTTATGATTCTCCCCATAAACTTACACACTAGACTGGATCTTTGACCAATTAAAACTTGGTCAACCTTTCCATTCAAATCTGGACTTTCAGTATTTTATGGTCAAGTTTTAGCCACAGTCAATCTCTCTTTAGTCTATTAGCCAGTGGTTTCCTGTCTTGCATAATATTGAGAAGCATGCATTCCCTGTTTGATTACAGAAATGGGCCCTTAGCATTCTTCCAGCTACAAAGACATTGAGCTCCAACATGTTGTACAGAACTTCTTCCTGAGTAAGGAGACCAATTAAGTTGCTGAAACTGAAGCGTTCAGGCCTTGCCAAGCTTACACAGTGCCTGAACCCGTAAGTCCATGAATGAAGATGTAGTATTAGTCAATGCATCTGATATAGTAGAAGTCACAGGTTGGTCCTGTAGTCTCTAGGGTTGCACTACCACATATGAGGGCCAATGATCCAATCTATTGATACTGCCAAAGAAGGGCACTAAGCTTGAGGAATGATGAGTCCTAGAGACCTGTCTCGCTGTAGGATGTACCATTATCATCAGAATATGGCATCAGATGTTCTCACATCTACGAATAGACCACTTCATCCTGAAGCTGAAGAATGATTTTCCAGTACAAGTTGCATATTGAGAGGTGATGAAAACAGAGGTGGGGCAGGCTCCAGGATTATTCCACACCAAAATATGCAAAAGATAATATAATATTAAAGGGCAACAAAGGGACCTTTTGGTCCATCTAGGCTGTCCCATTCATTAAGTTAAACTATACACTAAAAATGAAAGCCAGCCTTTATCATTCAAATACTTACTACATTTTCCCTTAAACTTGTTAAAATTAACTGTATCTATCATATCTGAAGGCAATCCATCCACCCTGTTATAAAAATAAAGCTTTCTTAGCTGAAGATGACTTCAAATTTGCCAAAATTTATATTTGTGTCCCCTCGTCTTATCATTATCAACATTAAATACGAAAACATATGATGCATCAACACTTTGAATTCTCTTAACAATCTGAAACACTTCAATCAGACCCCCTCTAACTCTTCTTTTGTCAAGATAAAATAAGTTTAGAGATCTTAAACTATCATCGTATGGCAACTTTTCCAACCCAGTTTCCTAATATCCTTCCTCTGAACCCTTTCCAACAATTCAGTATGCTTTCTAAGTTAAGGAGTCCAAGATTGAATGTGGCACTCCAAATGTGGCCTAACCAATGACCTATATAATAAGATTATAACCTCTTAAAACTTGTATTCAATATTTTGTAGATGCAACTTAAAATCCTTTTTGTCCTGCCACAAACAACAGCATATTTTACTCGTAGTTAGAATTGTGATAGCCCACATGAATTACATTGAATGTATTATAATTGAAAATTATCTGCCATTTATTCCCCTAAACTGCCAAATATTCTAAATCCTTTTGTAAAGCATTAGCATTTCTCTCACAGCCAGCAACATCCAAACTTTAATGTCATCAGCAAATTTAAATAAGCTATTGATCATTCCTTCATATATTTCACTAATGTAGATCAAAAGGAACAAAAGTCCTAATAATGAGTCCTGAGGTACCCCACTCATGACATTAATCCAGTTTAAGTAAGCACCATTTATAACAACCTCTGCTTTCTTCCACCTAGCAAGTTTTCTATCCAATGAGCCAACCTGTACCCTACACCTGCACAAATAAGTTTTGTAACAAACCTATTTATGCGGCACCTTGTCAAATACACCACATGCACAACCATACCCTAATCTACATAAGCAATAACCTCTTCAAAAAATGTCAAAAGATTAGTAAGGCAGGATTTTCCCCTAGTGAAATCATGACGACTATCCAAGAAAATTTTAAACTTTGGTAAATGACTTTGCAAAGCATATTTTATCAGACCTTCAAAAATTTTTCCTATCACTCATATAAAACTATCAGTAATATGCCTATAGTAATCGAGGCAATTTATATCACCTTACTTGAAGTAACATTAGCCAACTTCCAATCTTTTGACACCTACTCATTACTAAAGAAATTAGAAAAAAATAGTAGCTCACATTTCCAATCCTTAAGCTCTTTAAAAACCCTTGGTTAAATATGATTTGGTCCAGGAGCTTTATTGTTCTTTATATCTCCCATTCTTTTTTTCTTTACAAGCTCAGAAATACTGTGAATGTCCAGTTTAATCTTGTTTCCATCTAGAAACTGTTGAGGATATTACTTAAATTCTTATTAGTAAAAACTGAAGAAAAAATAAACCAACCATCCATAATAATCAGGTATTGTCTTTTCTCTATCATCACTCAAAACATCCACCCTCATTTTAACATTTTGCTTATCTTTAATACATTTGAAAAAAACCCTTGCTATTACTTTTTACATTTTCAGCCAACCTTTTTACGAATGTTTTATGATTTCTTAGTTTTCCACTTGACCAACTCTTTTGATCTTCTATAATTATTCAAATCTCCAATTATTGCATTCAATTTTAAATTCTTATATTTATAATCTTTTCATTTAGTTTACCACTTATACCCTTTGTGACCAAGCTGGTTTTTTAGTTACAACCACCTTTTTTTGTTTATAAGGAACATGCCTATCTTTAATATCTAGAAGTTTATTTTTAAATATTGTTACGACAGCGGAAGTCACGTGACACTGGTAACACGTCATGAGATTCTCGAAGAATCTTGACTTTTCCTGGCAACTCTAGTCTGTTCTAGGCGTCCTCTTTTTTAGTAAATAAGCCCGGCAAATAAAGCGGAGATGTAATTGCAGATAGATAGAAAGATTGAAGATAGAGATAATCGAGTCAAGCCATAAGTGAAGTGTGTAAATCACTGTGATTTATAGCGTGTGTTCATAAAAGTAGTCAAGTTTAAAGTGACTGTGGAAATTATGTGTATTGCAAAGTTGTATCGAGAAAGAATAAACTAGTTTTAATTGAGAAAGGACCTGTATCGCTGAAGTTTCTCGGAAAGAATTTATTCCGGAAATTAACAAACGACCAGATACGCAACAATATTTTCCACACTTGATCAGTATCTCCAACTAATTCAGTTGCCCAATGCATAGAAGATAGTTCTTACCTCATCTCTTCAAAATTTGCTTTTTTGAAATTTAAAATCAAAGTTCCCTCATTCTTTATCTCCATATGTAGCAAAACACCATATCTCATTAAACAATGATTACTTGTGCACAACTGTTCACCAATCTCCACCCTCTCAGCCATTTCTATATTGAAATTTAACAATAAATCAAAAATATCATTGTTCCTGATCAAATCTTTAACCAATTGTTGGAGAAAAACATCTTGAATAATTTCTGAAAAACGGTCTTCCTCATGATTTGACTCTAAAGTTTCGTTTTCCAATCTATATACCTAAATTAAAATTTCCCATAATCAGAACCTCATTAACAGTTGAATTCATCATTTCATCACTTTAATCTGGTGGTCTGTAACAAATTTCAACTAAAAACCTTCTTCCCTTACAACCAATAACAGAAACCCAAATAGATTTAACTTCAATGCTATTAGATTTAATATCTTCAACTTAAACAGAAGTTTCTGTTATTAAAATTGCCTACATTTAGCTCAGTTTCAGTTATCTACTGTTCTAAAACCATCCATTTTATTTCTTATATTTGTAGCATTACAGCAATAAAAGTTTAACCTCATTACGTTCTTCCCACGCTATACTTCTCTATACATTTTATATTTTCTTCATTATTCTGGCCCTCTTCCCTATCTAATGCTAGTTGAAAGTTGCCCATACAGAGTTACATTCAAAATTTAATTAAACTACTTTATTATGAATATGTATGATTAAACTTTGCAGCAAAAGAATGTTAATAAATCAAAATTTCATATCATATAAGTTTTAATTTCTTAATTTTATAAAGAAGTGTTTAAATAAATCCTCAAACTCTCCTATTATGGGAATCGTTACATTTTTTCTCTAGGCCTCCCCCTTTTCTAATTTATTTTCCACCCTCTCTCTCTCTTTAATATATTTATAATAGTTTTAGTTTAGAGGATGGAACAGCCGAGATGGACCAATAGGTCCCATGTTGTCCCAAAACATCATGTTAAGTATGGAACTTAACGTAAATTAATTATTACAATAAAGATATTGCTATGGCATTGTTTAATTTTTATTATTTTAGTCTTCTTTGTTTAAATGTATTACGCTATTTTATTTCTAAAATTTTGTAATTGAAGTTTCTCTAAACATTGCACAGAATATAACCAGACCATTTTCTCAATATCGTTGTATATGGATGAAATTCTATTATTTCGTATATATTTACTCTTAGCATTTTTCCTTTTCATTCGGTTCAGCTAATACGATTTGCCCTCGTATTTGAATATAAATCCAACTTCTGATAGGTGTCGTTGTTAGTGTTGCTAGATTAATAAACTAATAGTAATATCTTACCAAAACTTAACTGGATTGAAGTTATTTAAATTCATAATTTGAAAAGTTTTCATTTAGAATTTGATTTTTTCACCATGGGAGTTTTACATAGAGTAAAGTAAGTGTTATATATACATTGTATTTATAATTTTGTATTACATCTTAAGAGTTTAAATTTTAACTTAAGGCTTAAGCCTCGTTTATACCACAACATGATTATGGTGCATGATCATTGTGTAACACCCAGCAGTAGTAGCATTGTACAATTATATGAAGATGCCAAGTTCCTGTGCCAAAGTCAAAACTGAAATTCATACTCGGAGCTAATCAGTGATACTATATTTACATTTATGTGTATAATAAAATTGATATATGTTGGTATAGACTATAGGTGTATGGAAGCCTCAACTTATTACTTATTTGGATTATAAATGAATTATACATGTTATAGAAATTACTGTTAAATCCCGTTATCTGGTCTGACAAGAACAGTCCGATATTTGGCAGTGGGTGGTGTTGTCTGGCTGCCTCCCTTCGACTAGTTCTAGTCTATCATTTCAAAATTAGGAATGGCTAGTGCAGATAACTCGCATAGCTATGTGTAAATGAGCCTTTCATACTTGTGATGTTGTGACATCAATTTTCTTTATTTTCGGTATAACATTAATTTGTAGTACATAATTGAAAATGTTCAGAAGAATAACCAAGTTATAAAACCAACTTTTAAATGTTTTTATGATTCCCCCCCCTCTACAAAATTACAATTTAAGATTGGTACAAATCGTATGTACAACAAGAGACCATTTTGTCCTTAAGGCTTTATTTGCACACCCACTCTTTGAAAAATATATATGTCAATTCATCCTTTACTTTTTAGGAAATTATGGATTTTTTTCTTTAAACTCTTGTAAAGTGCTAGGCATTCATACTGCTGACAGCAACTAATTCCATAATTCAGACACTGTTAGAAAAATAAAATTGTTATTAAATGGAGCTCAGCCTATCTTTTACAAATCTTAAACTTGAGTTCTCTCATTCATTTATCCTCAGAATATAGCCAGAGGAAATCAAAGGCCTCTATCTTATCAACCCATATATAATCTTTTAAATTTGAAAGAAATGATTTCTTACCCTTTTTTGAGGAGAAAATGTTAACCTATACCTGAAAGATAACTTGCATATTGATAATCATCCTAGTACCCCTCCCTGGAACTCTTTCCAAGAAGTTGATACCCTTTCTTAGGTAGAGACCAAAACTTTACACAGTATTCCAAATGAGCCTTAACTACCGACTCGTATATAGCAATAATTACTCCATTTTCACATATAATCAACCTGTCAATAAATTCACCCTAAAATGCCATTAACTATATCACTAGCAACAGAACACTGCTTGAGTGCTTTATCTACCACCAAGGCAAGTCCCTTTTCTTGAGTGAGTTCTCATCTATATTGGACATGTGATCTGATTTATAACTCAAAATCATTACCTTGCATTTGCTATAGAAATTCTGGTTATTTGCAAGTTATTTCTCCTACTAATTTATAACTCAGATTTATTACCTTGCATTTGCTATAGAAATTCTGGTTATTTGCAAGTTATTTCTCCAACTTGTCACATAATCTAAGTCATTCTTCAATATCTCAGCATCCTCAATACAGGAAATACCCAAAAGTTTAATGTAGTCAGCAAACTACTATTTATATACCTTTTAATATTATTAATGTAAATAAAGACAAGTTACAAGGGTCCAGTTTAACTGGATTCCATTAAAAACAACTTTTTGCTTTTTTCCCCCCCATACATTCACCGTACAATCCAATTAACTAGTCTTTTCTCAACTCTTATTGAATAGATGAGATTTTCTCTAGCTTTTTGAAAATCTAAGTACATTAATCCACTTCCCTTCCATCGTCCAAGTAATATTCTTGCAAAAAGATAACAGATTAGTAAAGCAAAATTTCCATTTGTTTATTTCATGTTGGCTTTCATTTGTGATAATACTTCCCAAAATGATTTTGTAAAGCTTCTTTTATCAGGCTACCTGGAAATTTTATTACTAAAATGGTAAAACTAAATGGCTTAATTTTTATGGCAACTCTTAACACCTTCTTTAAAAATTGGGGACCTGCCCACCACTTATTGATCTACCCAAAATGAAATGGAAAGATTTGCATATCTGACCTTTGATATCCTTTAACATCCTAGGGAAAACTTGGTTGGTCATGCTTTTTATCCACTTTAATCCTAGTTTTTCTACTAACACTACGGAATTAGTATCCACATGATTCAGGTCAATTCTGAATGATCAGAAAATGCTTAGCTTCAGAAATATTGCTAATATCTTCTCTTGTAAAAATAAAAAATAACAGCAAAAAATAGTTAAAAGCTCAGACATATCATAGCCTTCAACAAAAACCTTGCTGTCAACATCCTTTTAACATTTTGATTTATTTTAACATCAAAAATCTCCATGCTGTTAGTTTGAACATTATCAACCATCTGTTTTTCAAAAGCTCATTTCAATTGTATAGTTTCTTTTTTGACTGTATCCCTAGCTCTCTCATAATTGTAAATCATACAATCTATATGTCAGTTTAAAGTTATTAAATTGTTACTCTATGGTCCTCATTTTTCTCTTTATTCAAGCCAATTAATTTTGAGATCTCTATTATTCCTCTTTTTAGAAATGTTCTGTTCTTTAACTAAAAACAATTTTAATTTTCAGAATTTGACCATCATCTTTTAACTTATTATCCTAAATTGCTAGTAATAAATCTCAAAAGTTGTTGGTGTTGACTAGCTGCCTTCCCCTTAGTCTATTACTTCTAAATTAGAAACTGAAAATTTAGGAACAAAATTTTCATTATTTTTCAATACATGAAACCTAAGTGATTACTCTACCTCAGATGTTACACTACTTCAACTCTTGCAACCAAATTTTAATAAGTGGTCACCAATAAATCTAAAATGACACCCTCCTCTAACTATTTGGTAGAAAAAACATTTTGAATCATTTCAAGGATTCTTTTTTTCTTTTTTTTTCGTCACTGTTCAGCTCCATATATCCCCAATCATTGTCTAAAATTGAAGTGTAAAGGACTCATAATTATTGCATCACTGTTCTTATTAGTAGCAACCCTGATCTCATTATACAGCTTGTCATTAACCTCATCTTTCTGATCAGTTAATTGCCAATTAAAAACTTTCTATCCTTAAAACCCCCGAACATAAATCTCCGAAACTAGTCTGGCTCACAGACCCCCCCCCCCCTCCCCAATGAAAGATTAGACCATTCCGAGCTTTTACATGTTGTTAAACAAATGTTTAAACAACTCTATTCAATTATGTACCAATTGCTCAGTGTCGGCTAACAATACAAAGAATTAAATTGTGGCGAAATGCTACAAGTTCTTCACATACCTGTAGAATGATAGGTTTCTTTTTTGTGAGTGTAAAACACTTAAATACAACATTTCGATAAACTACATTTATTTTTTGCTGCCATATTTGTTCTATCCTAAATGGCAACAGTTCATCCTTGCTCACCCACTCTTTTCAAAATTCAACATTATTAAGTAACTTCTAACTTGTGTACCAAAAACAATATGTATTATCACTATTCTCCAAATTTAACCATGTTTTTATAATTCATATTATATTTTAGTCTTCCATTTCAGCTCGAGCTCTGAACTCATCTATTTTGTTTGTAATACTCCTAACATTAGAACAATAGCAACTTATCTTTTTCTTGAACCTGTTATGTTTATCTTTAAGGCTGGCAGATGTATCTATAAAACTATTACTGAATCTGTGCTCCAAGTCTCCTATTCCCAAAATACATCACTAGCTATCCTATCAGTTTGTTTTTTCCATATTTCCAAAGCTCCCTCCCCATTATGCAAGTTTAGTTTAGACTATCTTTAATGAGTGTATCTAGAGCTTCTCAAAATATCCTGCTCCTAACCTGCTTAAGGTAGCTTGTCCCTAGCATATAAGGCTGTAAAGGGCAGATTTGGACCTTCAAAGTTTCCAAACAAATTACCAAATGCAGGTTCAAACCTCTGAATACTAATTTGTATGATTTATTGATGATGTCACCATAGCTGCTAGTTTGTTTTAATGAAAACTCTTTAATTTTACAGGTAAATCATATTTATGAAATAAAACATTCACATTTAGTTTACAAATACCTTAAATAGAACAGCAATCAACCTTGTTGTTTACGTACACATATTTGATGTTACATGCAATACTTGTGTAGATACAATAAGTTTTCATTGCAAGAGTACCTTGTTGTGGTCAATTAAAAGAACTGCAGCTGACTTAAACAAAACAAATCTTCATTTAGAAGTCACTTTTTCTAGCAGGATAAGGCATGACATTTTTAACATAAAATTGTTGATTAATTAAATATTGAAATTATTTGTTTTAGTGTATATTTTGTTTCATATTTATTTTATCGTAACATTGCTCTTACATCTTGAACACTAGGCATTCAGTACATATAACTGAAGCAATTCAGCCACTAAATGTAACTCCCCTCCTGCTCTTGATTATAATGGTCTGCCCTAATCCCAATGCAAGGAAGTTGTTAAATATATCTTTGTGGTGGTATTCATGTGTGTGTTTTAGTACTATGACATTTGTTTAAGATTGAATTTTCCATGTGAGTGACATTAAATGTGCAATTACTATTCAAACATTGTTAAATGGTTTCTATTAACAAGAGAAAAAAAATCTGATATTGCTTGAATGCCACTTGACAAACCTTCAAATTTTTAGAACTATCTTAAAATTTCTGGCTAGCAAATGAATTTCCAATCATTCTTCTACTAAAATACAACTCACCTTTATCCAGAAAACTATTTCACAGGTCTAGCCAGATCACCTGATGCTGTAAGTATAGAGGTAGCACTCCTGATAAAGCCATATGCCTATTTTTATCCATAATATGTGAAGGAATTCTTTATTTTTTAAGCACCTATTGTTTACAATTTTCAAAATCAGTTACTCCTACATGTACTACAAACAGAATCTTCCTTGGTACTAGGAACTAAACTGTAAGTATACTGTATAATTTCCTGTACTTTAGTACCTGGCATGGCAAGTAAATT